AACAAATAATGTCTGTTCTTCTTTTTCCAATGCTCAGCGTTTTTAATCACCAGAGTGGCTGAACTAGCCTCTGGAGACGTCTGGATTGGTTTAAATAGTTTAAATCAGGATGGATATTTTTTGGACTGATGGGAAGAAAAGGAAATACACAAACTGGGGCTATTCTGTGAGTACACACAATTTGGAATCGATATACTGTGTTTACAGTGAAGCAATTCAATGTGAAGTAATGCAATAGAAAAAAAAATGAAGAGTAGCTTAACACCAACTAAACATCTGTTTTTTGCTGACCTCTACTGGTTAAACTGCTCATCTTGATGCTGCGTTATCAAAGTGTTAATGATGATCAGTATCAGTGGGTGAGGTCCGTGCTTAAGGCAGATTTTCAGTAAGTCAGTACAGAGCTCTGATCTTTTGCTTGGTGTTTAGTTACTCGTTTAATACAAAAAAGAATGTATGAAATATATATATTTTTAATGCACATGCTAAAAATAACCATTCTCTGTTCTTAGAAACATACCCGTCGTCAAGGGACCTTTTATCAAAGATGGAATGAGGTAACAATTTCAATATCCATTTTAAAAAACAAATGATACTTTTAAGTTTTTTTCATCAAGGAACAAATGTTAGTCGCTTGCTTACAAACCTTGAAGAGTTAGTCATTGAGCCAATTTATCACTTAATCAGTCATTAACAAGTTGAAACAAGTCAGCATTAGTTTGAAACTGCCATGTCGTACTGAGAGAAAAAAAAGAAATAGTACCAACTCTAAAATTCTTTCCCCAGGAACAGTGTGTTGTGATGTCAGGGAATCCTTCTCTTGGCATTGGTAAATGGTATATCAAGTCCTGCAATGACACCAATGGATTTATGTGTCATCGCAGTCTTGGTGAGTTCATTCTTTTTCTCTAATTTATTTTTCTCTATATGGATTAAAAATGTATCATGTAATACCTCCTTTAAGTACCATTCATACATAGCCTATGTACAAAAACAAAAAAAGGTTTCTGGTCACAAGATGGGGTCATTTGTCCAGTTTGAATGAGGAAGACTAAATAGAATGTGAATGAATAACTTAGTTTTCCTTTCTTATATAAGACTAGAGCTACAGAAAAATGTATATATTTAGCTAACGTAAGCTAGTAAATGCTAATTAAACAATTTAGTCACTGGGTTGAGATTATGATCTGCAATACATTGTTGTCAGTAATATTTGATGTAATCTTGATTGTTTGAGAAAAAATATTCTCATTGAGATAAAAGATCTCTTCTTCAAGAGAGTCCTGGCCAAGACAGCAGCATAAAAGTGTCAATATAAAGATAGAACTTGTAAAAATTATGCCAATTTATACAAAAAGAATCTGCAAATCCTGTGACTATAAACTTCCCTTAATATTAGAAAACAAAGTTCATCTCTCATCTACTTTATCTCTTCTCTCAACAGATCCAAATATCATCCCTACTACCAGTACCAGCCATTCCAACCACTTACCTATCACTGGGAAATGACAGCATTAAGGTTGTGACTAAAAATCTAACCTGGGAAGATGCTAAGAAACATTGTGAAGGAGACAAGGCCAACCTGGCTAGTCTGCGGAGAGATTGGACACAGGCCTATGTCGAGCTGCAATCGATGAATCTTAAAACTCCTCTTTGGATTGGACTGAACAAAGAGCAGGTAAAAGTCTACAATCATCTGGTGTTACCATGAAATTGCCCTAAACTAAGTTCCGAGGAAAATTAAAACATAAAAATTGAGCCATGTTTAAACCTCCCAGGAAATGACTACAAGAATGTCTATTTAGGTCTTTCTGTTAACAGATTATTTACTAGTGGCAACGGATCACAAATCTCATGGTTCAGATCGGATCACAGATCTTTGTCACAGATCTTTTTTTTTTTCTGATCGGCAAAACGAAAAAAACAAAAAAAACACTGTGTGTGATTTATGTATCATATAAAGTGTTAACAATTTGTGATTTCTCCAGTATTACTTACAAAAGTGACAGCCCATAGCCGCTATCTTACAGGACAGAAATTTGATAGATTAGATTGTGAGTATTAAGGAGTAGTTACTGCCATGTAGTCTGACAATCAGTGCAAGAATTATGTGCAAGAACTTCAGTTCAGATATTATTTGGGTATACACTTATGAACGACACATTTATGTCCATCTATTTTTTTTCCCATGGCAATAAAGAAACCTCTCAATCAGCTAACCACATTTGTTTTTATGTAGATTTGGAAAATGTTCAATCTAATTAATAATATATTGCTAAAGAGTCATTTAGATTATTAATCAGTAGCATGTTAAATTAAAATGTATATTTGCAACAAGCTATTCTTGCTTTCAGACCGGTGGTTACTTTAAATACATTGATGGCTGGCACCTCAACTTTGCCAGCTGGGCTGAAGGTGAACCAAGGACAGGTCTCCCTTGTGTGTATGTGGATGTGGATGGACAATGGAAAACGGCTCTTTGCAATCAGACCATGAACAGTGTTTGCATGCAGTCTATAGGTATGTTTGTGAGCGAGCTTTGTAAATGAGCACAATTGTTTATTGTCAAGTTGTTATACTATAACTGCTGCAATTTACTTGATTTTATTTATTTATATGAACAAATCTGGCATCTTGCATTGTTCTATAATTACCGGAATAAAGCCTTTGCCTGAGACTGAAACTGATATTTTTTTATAGAAACCTCAAACAAAAATGTACAATCTTTTAAATGTTATGTTATAACTCCTTGGAGAGCAACATTTTGAATACAATGCAAATTCCATGAAACCTAATTTAGCATTGTTCAAAGCTACGAATGTTTAATACCTCTAAATTATTTTTTTAAGTTCCTCAGTAGTCAACAAAAAATCTATGTAATTAATGTTGAAGCTCACGCTGACTAGGCATAGTATACTATTTTATTTTATAGTCTATACTAGCTTTAACACACAGATCCTGTTTCCCAAACCGCCACTTTTTACAACATAACCTCAAGCAAACATCCATCTGTGAATAATACATTTGCTTTAATCTACACAAACCAAAGTAACCAAAGTTTATCGCGTAACATAAGCTGACTGTTCATTTAGTGGATGTCTGTTTTCTGACTGCTCATACTGTTCATACTGTGAGTAAAGGGGACTGTGCATTACATGTGCACTGTATCTTCAGTGTTTGGATATAACTCATCGTTATTAACAATCAGCAGAGCAAGAGAGAGAGAAGCTGCAGCTACACCAACACTCAACATATTTTTACACATGACAATTTCTTCTCCTCCAGCATATCTCTTACTTTGATACCATAAAATTGTTACAAATGAATCACACTTGACTTGACAGCTAGCTTGCGCTGCATCTGACTACATCAAAATGATTTAAAATTTGCCAATTAGTGATGTCATCATTATACCAGACCCTTTGATATACTAGTTAAAATTAAACAATATGGATAACTGTTTCAACTCAGTCATTTTGTTATCAGGCGATCCACTACTAACTGTCTCTGCCATTCACAGATGTTCCACCAACACAGTCAACCATATTCCCGGGAGTTTGCCCAGAAGACACGACAGTGGAATACCAGCAGACTGCTTCCTGGCTGCCGTTTAAGGGTCATTGTTATTTGTTCATGACAGAAGAAATTGAATGGGCAGATGCAGCGAGTAGCTGTGTACGGCACGGTAAGAGACATTTTTAGAGAAAATTGGCTGGATGCTGTGTAGTTTACTTATGCCATTGAAAATGTATGAACAGAATCAAAAATGTGTTTTTGTAGTTGTTACAACCAGACTTTGTTTTTTGTTTGTTTGGTGTAGGTGGAATCCTGGCTAGTATCGAAGACCCTGAAGAGCAACAGTTCATTAAAAGCAATGTTGAAATATTTCAAGACAGCGTCAGTGCTTTCTGGGTTGGCCTGTTTAAGACTCATAAAGGTATTCTTTTTTTCTCTTCTTGAAAACCAAAAAGTTGCTGTAAAGTTAGTTCATAACCAATATCAACTTTCATCGCCAAAACAACAAACCTGTTGTCTTGTTAAAAAAAGAGAATCAAAAGGAAGAAAACAAAGAACTTCAAAAAAACCTTCATACAGTACTTAGATTGTGGTAACCAGACAATACCCATTCTTTTTTCTCCAACAGTTATTTGGCAAACTATTATAGTGAAAATATTAACAAACAGACTTTCTGTACGCTATTAGGGAAATGGTTGTGGTTGGATAAAACAGTCATGGACTACACAAACTGGGGCCCTGATGAGCCTGAAAATGACTATGGAGAGATCGGAGCATCAGATGGCGCTTGGAGGACGGGTCGGAGATGGCACGACCGAGGATACATCTGTGAAACACCAAAAGGTAGTGATATCACACATGTAGATTAAACGTATGCTCGCTCTTTAGATTCAGCCAACTAAATGTAGCTTGTTAATGTGTTCAGTATTGCAATAGATCATCAGGTTTCAATCTAATTCAAAAGTTTTCATGTGCTTAAAACATATGAAGTAAAAATTACAACAGTGAAGTTCTGGTACCTCTAACACAATTTGTTCGTATATAGAGGAGAGGTCAATCTTTAAAATGCTGAAAGATTGACAGATCCCTGATTTAAAAAATAACTTATTGCTATATGTTAATAATGTTCTTTATTCTTCTTTATCTAACAGTGACACCTCAAGATCCAGGATCAAAAGCTGGTAAGTTGCACCTGTCTCATTTTATTGAATTATATAAATAATTCAATAAAGTTAAGTGTAATACAATATTGAAAACATTTAAAGGCAGGGTTGATACTTTTCAAAAACTTGCATGATTTTGAAAGTAGCGTTCCCTCAGTGCTGCGTCTGCACCCACCCCCTCCCCTCTGTCACGCCACGCCCCTCACTTACATGCACAAGCGCCATTGGCCCAGAAGTGGAGCTCAGCTCATGCTTTGAGTGTTGGCTCGTGTCTGTCAGGACCTAAAGACAATTTCAACCAAAATCTTTTAAAAAATGTATCAGGAGAAAATTACCAACCCTGCCTTTAAGTGAAATATAAAATTGAATGTCACAAGTGCATTTACTAAATCTTAAGAAAGAGAATACAAGTTTTGTCTGATCAACATTGACTTGCTGTTATTCCTGCAGAGCCTATTGAAGGTCAGGACCCCCGCAGTCGGGTCCACACCAGTTTGATAGTGGTGCTGATCATTACTATCACTTCTACACTGATGGCTTTTGCATTCTTCCTCTACAAGAAGGCCCCTCGAGCCTTACCAACTTTTGATAATCCACTCTACTTTGGCAGTGAAAGATCGCAGCCTGATGTTGTTGACACCAACAAACTGATAGAAAATGCAGAGGTAGAAAACCCTGAGCCAATTATAGCTCTGTGATCTCTAGTAGGAAATGTAACATACCGTTCTGTATCCCAGAAACCCACACTGATGTATTACACTTGGATGCTTCATTTGTGTTTTTGCTCCTTTTTTATGCATGATACAGTTTATATTCAGTTATTTAATGTCACTATAGGTGTCCGTTTCAACTGAGTTGGCAACGTCTGACCTCATGAAACAGAACAGTTTAGGCTTGAGAATGTCTCAATGGAAATGACTTGTATTTGATTTTTTATTTATATATATATATAATTGAATGTATATATTTGAAGTTTGATTATGCTAACTGGATGATGTTTATTGCTTGTACTCTTGACATATGTAAAAACACATTACTGCTTGTCACATGTTGATGTTACATGTACATTAAATCTGATGAAATAAGTAGATTGGGGATTTATTCTCCCTGTTGTCTTTATATCTGTCATTCCAGTGACTACCAACATACCTAAGAAAACTCTAAATTAGCACTGTAATGAATAATAGTGATATGAATAAATCACTAGTTTTAGTATCAGAGAAGTTTTAGAAGTAAAATAAGTTCTGAATTATGTTTAATGAGTATGCAACAGTTGTGTATTAGTAGAGTGTCCATATCAACCCCACACGGCATCGTGAATATCACGACAAGCATATTAGAACATTTGATTTCCAAAAATGCTTTGTACAGGCCTACTACCTTATGTTTTAAATCTCTTCTTGTATGGTGGATCTAAAGTGTCAGATTATTTTTATATTTATGATTGTTAAACTGTGAATTCTAAAATGTGACAAACCCTTGTGGACACTTGATCAAAAAGGTGTCAGGCATCTAACTAGTATTGTATTAGTTTCAAGCTTTGTTTCAGTATCAAGTATTTCGATACCTAACTTGGATTCCGTAGGCAAGTCAAAATGTTGGTTTTGTGACAAAACTACTTTATGGCACTATTTACTAACGGCAGTTTGACATCAGAGAGTAATTTTACAAGTACAGCCAAAAGAAGAAAGCGGGTCCAGCCTGGATTTTGTCAGGGCATCTCTGGGGTACTTAGCTCCCTCTTACACGTCCTGGGGCTGCTAAACATTGAATTTGGCTTTTGGAAGCATGCTTGTTTCCATTGCGGTGTGTTTCAGTTGTTGCATTTGCTTTTTAATTTGCATCAATTCTGAATACAGTATTATATTAGTATTATTATGTTATATTTATTATAACAGTATTGTCTAATGGTATTATAATCAAGGCTTATAGTATTCAATTTTATAAATGGAAATGTTTGAACTACACTGACATCTACCATCACCTCATGCATCCTCATCATCCTTTGCTCGTTGCCTCAGTACAGAGAACATGGTGGACACCAGTGTCAGATGCGAGGGAGTCAAGAGATTGTGGATACTCCAGCAGATTTTAAATCTGACATGAGGGGAATTTTTTGTTTTCCTGTGTTCAAAAATGACAAAGGAGAAAAGGTGACAATATGAAGACACTGCCAGACTGTGGTGACATACACAAAAGGGAATATGAGTAATATGAGAGCCACTTAGGCAAATCATCACCCTGAAAAGGTGATGATGATGATGATCACATTTTCAAAGCATTCGACTCCCTGGCACATGTGTAACCCAGGTTAATTAAATTGAATTTGATATTAGCCCTCTATTTTCTTTTCCTTTTAAGAGGGGAGTGACCTCAGTGAACCTCCATAACTTGTGATTAATTGGTTTTCATTTTATTTTGTATTTATTTATTTCCCTAATTTATTTTTCTTAACATTCCATAATCTCACCTGAACTCCGCTAAAATCTTCAACCAATCAGAACTCCTCCCACTTATCATAAACATTGTATGTTGCAGAGACAGAATTGTTTGGTTGCCCAAGACGGGACAACGAGTTTATGATTTACACAGCGGTCAGGTTTTTTGTGTATGAACCTTACACCATGGAGATGGCGAGCTAAAACCTACGAGATCTACCCTGCCTACAAGTTGGTAGGATCTAAAAAGACATTCGAACACAGATTGAAAGACATTGACTTTTTTTTTGTTTTTTTGATGGACCCAAGAAGCGTTTTCTGATTAAGAGGATATTTATGTTGGTTGTTTGAACTTATTGTTTTGTTATATTGGAAGTATTTTTTATGTGAAATACAAAAATTATTATTTAAATTTACCTGTGTTTGGATTTTGTTGGTATTCACAATTGAGCTCCTAGAGACCTACCTTATTTCTTCCTAATTTAAATTTGACTTAAATGCACAATTAGCCCACATGCTACACATGGCTTCATTTCATTTTTGTGAGAGCCATGAATGGCTCTCACAAAAATGAAATGAAAAAGAACCCAAAGGAAACGTGAATATGCCGTTAAATTTCTGTGGAAAAACTAAATACACATAATGTTAAAAAGAACGTGATAATGAACACGAGTCAATGTGGGAACCTTTTAGACTTCACGACTCTAACCATTACATTCAAAGTGAACTGGCTGAGACATTTTTTAAATAACCCAAAATCTCTATGGAATATGATTCCTAATTATGTTTTCTCTAAAATTGGTGGCCAGAAGTTTTTATTACTGTGCAATTATAATTATCAGTAAAATCCCAATCAAACTATCCAACTTCCATCAACAGATGCTCTTTGCTTGGTCTCTGATATTTAAACATATAACTTCACTCCACACAGATATTGCATCTGGAAAAATAAGGACAGTCTCTACAAAAATAAATCAGTTTTTTTAAAAGTGGTCACATTTGTATGTCAGTTATACAACTCAGATGGTAGACTCTACGGTTACACAGACTTATTGAAAAATATCAGATCCCTGTACCAGTTAAGGAATATGCCATTGTCTCCAATGCAATCCCCTCAGGAGTGATTATGTTGCTGAGAGGCATTACCTTCCCCTGGCAGCTTTCTCAGACTCTAATGTTTAAAGATACTGATGCAGGAAGTCTATGCTTCTCAGCAAAATCTCCAAATATTACTAAATTAATCAGAGGGCTATTTCAGAGGAACATAGTAACCATGCCTTCTGTAATTCCATTTTTGAATAGCAGTGTAGAGAATGTGCCCTGGGGTAAAGTCTGGGCGCTTCGTTTCCAAATACCTTCTAATGAATAAAGTAAGAGAAGTCTCTAAGAGACGTATTTGGTTCACAAATTTTACCTGTCTAACTCATACCTTCAGAAATACAAATGAGACACTGATTTACAAGTTACTGAAAACTCTCTCACATCTTTTTTGGAAAGCCATTTCAGCACATAGCCTGACACTTGCTCTGACATGATGAGGGGCAGAGCCCTGGAGTCAGTGGGCGTGCAGAACCACCTGGCTCTTCTCATAAGATCAGAGCAAATCAACCAGAAGACCGGAGATGGTATTAGTATTATGATGGTTTTCTGTCAAAAATCACTCTGTTACATAACTTATGTTCTCATCCCATCATGGGCGGTAAGTTGAGCAAATTCATCCGACATTGCACAAAAACATCTGTTTAGCGGGTGGTGGGTGCTTTTTTCTAACCCTATGCTGCATCTTTTAGTTATGGAAAGCTGTTCTGGCCGTTGCTGAGCCTTTGTACCTGGTGGCCACTGTAGATCTTGCTGCATAATCAAACTAATAGTCTACGTAAAAGTTAGAGGTGGGCGATATGTCCTCTAATTCATATCACTGTAACAATTTTTAGCTTTGTCTGGTAACGGTATTATATCACGGTGTTGCAGTATTAAAAGGGATTGAGCATATGAATACATATTCACACACTAAGATAATATTCTTCCCCTCAAAGACATACAAATTGAGAAGCTCAACAAAAAAGTGAGCCCTGCTAATGTTTGTCAAACAAACATTTATATCTTGCACAACTGTGGGATTAACAGTTGGTCAGGGAAAGCTGTTTCCTGTTTCGAAACAATTTACAGCACCGCACAAAGCAAGGTCATAACTGATTTTTTTTGTCTTTAGCAGTTTGGTGTGTGGAAAAACACAAACTGGTCTAAAAAAACGCTCTAACCTCAACCTCAGTGATGTGGACCATAAAATGAAAGCCAGTTTATTTGAATAATCCTGCATCCTAATTGAAGCAAATGCATACGGCAAGTCTTCAAAACCTTGTAAGAAGCCTCAGGATATCTGGACTTCAAAATTAAGTTCTTGAAATGAATGAAAAAATGGAAGGGAATGACATGCAGGAAAGGAGCCTCAGGTTGGACATGAACTCAGGTCGCCTGCATGGAGCATCCATTTGGGTACTTGGGTCACGACCTAACCAATAGGCCATTTGCGCCTCAAACTATCCACTTTTTGACCTCTTTCTCAACATGCTTGTTCTCACAGTGCACTTCTCAGATTTAGAAAAAAGTGCATGCATGAGTTTTTTAACCGCACTGTTGAAACAAGTAGTGTCCAGGTCACCAAATGAAACAGCACTAAACATACAGATACATTAAATTACAGATAATTTTACAAGGACCTTTTAAGACACAAGCCTATGTCATTGAAGTGTCTGCAGAGTGATGTAAACCAGACCACCTGGGGGTAAACCATGCATAACACTTTCTGAAGGTGTGGCATCAATCGGTTATCATCTTTGATGGTTTTGTGAGGTTGGTTTATGTGGGGCTGGGAATCTTTTTTTCTTTTTCTGGGATTTCAATTCTTGGGGTCACAATTCAATTCAGAATTCGGTTCAAAACGATTCTGGATTCATGATTCAAAGTCTATTTTTTGAAAGCTATGCCTTAGCACTTATCAGGAAGTGACAGATTGGCCAAAAAAAACAAAACGACTTTTGGAAGTTATGAATTCATTTAAAATCTCAGAAGATAAGAATCTACATTTTTACATAAATCGATTTTTTTCCCACCTCTAGTGCACAGTGCTGGAAAATGCTGATAGTTTGCTGCTGGGGAGTAACACTCACTGGCCTGGTGCTTGCTGAGGGTTCCACTGGCACTCGTTTAGGACGATAATTTCTTGCTTTCGGTTTATTCTAACCTATGGTTCTAACAGGTGGTATTGTTTCAAATGGTGGAAAAGGTTTGTGGTTTTGCCCGTTTTGGCTGGCACGTCTTCTGCAAAATATAGAGCACGTTCCTATGTCGTTTGTCGGACTGTAAATAGCAAAAATATCTCCCAACAAATGAAGTTGAGTGGCCTTTCTTGTCTACGATGTTTATTCCCTGATTTGAGCTGGTAGGCTCAGCGTTTTCTTCAGTGTTACTTTCGCTCATTTTGGCTGTGTTTCCATTCAGCTCCAAATGTCTGTAAGGCCCTTTTTCAAACCAACCCCTACACACTCGCCCTCCGTGACGGAGTGCACTCTGTTAGAAGTCACACTCTCAGCTGGGTAGAAATATAGCGGCAAGCTTTGAGACAAACTTCCCTCTCTCACACGGAAACAGGAACTGTGTGTTACCATGGTTACTCAGCGGTATCTTGCGGGAACGGCTTTTTTTTTTGTAGCTAATGCATTCTGTAAAAATATTTATGTAGCCTAGATTGTTCTTCTACTTTAGTTATATTAGTGTAGACTTATAACAAAACTATTAGATTGAGCCTACATTGTTTATTGTAAAATATAATTTAACTTAATTTATTGTAATTTTTAGATCAGGGTGTCCTAAATTAATGCAAAGACAAGGATAATATTGTTGAACATCAGAGCAGCAAAAAGTGTATTTTTTGTTGTTGAATTGAGATTTCACAAAGACATCAAAAGTAGAAAAATAAGAAATAGTATGTTGTCTGCAACATGATTTAATATTCTTTTGTTTTTGCAACAGTCCCTGTAAATATTAAACACTTTAAATAAACATGTATTTGATCCTCAATACAATACACATTTGAAGTTGTTAACGTTGTATGATGATATTAAATGTCTATCTTAGTTGGAGCAGTGTTTGTAGCATAGACTGTAAGGTTTGTAGGCACTTGCACGGAACTCACAGGTTGCTTCATCCATGACGACCGGACACAATAGGCGTTGCACGTGATCCGAAAGTCGGCATCGGTGCACACTCGCTAGTGGAGGGTTTTATAACCCACTCCCCGCTAGTTGGTTTGGGACGGACTTAATATGGCGGACCCTCCGCGGGGACGCGCAAACGGAGGGGTAGTGGGTAGTGGCCGGTTTGAAAAAGGGCCCAAGCCTGCCTTCCCTTATCAGTGTGACATGATTGGCTGTAATAATTATATAATTAGGTGTACTAATAGATCGGCATGTGACAGGAATCAGCAGTTTTATTCCCTGTTAAGCCCTGACTGGTGGTTAGGCAGTCCTCACAAATATAGCTGATTCTGAACCAATCTCAGACTCACACGCACAAGCTCATTATGCCCATGTGCTTAGGGTCACAAACATTAACGCAACAGCCACACATACACACACGAGCTAAATGTCTGCAGAGTGGAGGTAAGGCGCCATCAGCAGAGGTGAACAAGCATTGACACACTGGAGGATAAACAAACACTGTTTCCCTGCTGCTCTTGACCAATAGTACCTCTCTACCCAAGGGCGGTTCCGTAGGCTGGAGCGGCTCGGTCTCAAATGATCAATTAAAGAAACATGAATTTGTTGAAAATAAGGAATTGTTCCCTCTGTGTCACATGCCAAATAGGCACGTAGATGTCACTCATTGCAACAGGATATCACTGTTTCCCGTTTCTCACACTGTCTGTGTATTATGCAATGGCATACAGCCACATCGTAATGTGCTAAATGGTCTGTGAATACAAATGAAAATACAATGAAACAGCGAGGTCTGCAAATTTCAGCATTTGGGTGTTGGTTGTTTTTTTTTAAGGGGGGGGGGGGGTCACAGTCATTTGACCCCACCTTGTTTGCCTTAAATACAGTGCTTATGGAACTAATCTCACACAAAATATATGTCAGGACGGTGTGTCAGCACTATGGAGGTTGACTTGTGAATATCCCTTGGTTAACAGTTCTTTTATCTTCTGTGAGAAATTAAATGGATACAATCTGCTTCTGTAAGAAATCTCAGAAAGAAATTCAACCATGAGGATTACATGTTCAGCCTTCCTGCTCTTAATCCAAACATTACAGTGTTTGGGTTTAGATGGTAGAGTATTCCAACATTTCATCCTTTCTTTTTACTATTTGTGTGCATGTGTACTCTCATCTATGAGAACTAGTTTGTCTTATGAAGAGGTGGCATTATTCTCCAAATCTAAAGATCCATTTGGACTTTGAATTTCAAGGGTCCAATTTAATTACATTTTAAATGTAACCTTTTTTAGAGCACTGCAAGCTTTTCTAGAAAATACATTTGATTGCTGACTTTTTTTGGTCATTATTAAGAATATGAAAGTATTTAACATTTTATAATAATCATAATTTTTTTGTCTATTTCTTTGGTACATTTTATGTTACATCATTACAAAAGAATGACCAAGAGGCTATTTTAAAATGATTTTACAAATGTATGATAAAAACAAATAGATATATGGACAAAGAAGAACAATTGCTTGTAAACAAACATACTCATGGTATGCCCAGTCCTGGTTTTTGATTCCGAAAAGAAACATAATTTTTACATTATTATTTATTTAAACTTAAAGTCTAGCTAAACCTTTGTAAATAACACATATATTTTCTTTGTGTGATACATGTATTAAATAAATTACTAGTTTGCTACGATTACTTCATGAGCTTATTATAGTTTCACTTCATCTACATTTTACAATAACTGAATGGTTGTGGATTTGTTTGCTTATTGATTATTTTAGACCTGTGATGGTTACTGTTAAACAGCTGTTTTTTTAATCTTCCTGAACAGATTCCCCATTTCAACTTAGCAACAAGGCCACTGGGTTTTGTTTGGTTAAAACAAATAACTTCTGCAATGAAATTCGGTGGACAACTGGTGACCGACTTCTGGTTCACCAAAGGAAGAAGTGCCTGGGCGTCCAAGGGAAAAGTGTTGGAAGTGAAATAAGCCTTTACGATTGTGATGAAAACAGTGAACTCCAAAAGTGGGAATGCAAGAATGGAACCGTGCTGGCTCTTAGAGATCAAGAGCTTTACATTGAGCTTACTGCAGATAACACAGCCGTTCTCTCCAGAACTGTTGGGTCCAAAAGCTACCTCACCATTTCAGGGGGGTCCAGTGGGGCCTGCACAAGAACATACAGAGGTATATATATATATATATATATATATATATATATATATATAGAGAGAGAGAAAAGGTAAATCATTGTATTGAATCATTGAAGTATATATAATCTGAAACTAATCTTTGTTTTATTCTTATCTCCTGTAAGAACTTTATTCCATTGGTGGGAATGCAGCTGGGATGCCTTGCATGTTTCCCTTCCAGTACAAAGACCAGTGGTACTCCGACTGCACTACGACTGACTCACCAGGAAATCAGCTCTGGTGTGCAGTGGAAACAAAATATCAAAGTGAACGCTGGGGCTACTGTCCGGTTACATGTGAGTGGTCTGAAAAAACATTAATAAATTCTGTCATTGCTAAAATGTAAAACTGAAGTGCCCACTGAACACAATCAGCCCAGAAAAAGCTCAGTCAATTCAAAATATTTAAAACTGAGAGGAGTTGAGATCTCAAAAATTAACAAATCTAAGTGAGTTTGCAACACTGTCAGGAGCTCTAATACAGACAGACAGGCAGGACTTTATTCTCATGCTTGTATCGAATTGAAACCAAGGCGAGTGTTTCTAAAACACAACCTGTTAAAGTTAACTCTTTATTAGAATCAACAATAGAAAAAGTAGCTGGCTTTTGTTAAGTGACAAGTCTGCTGTTGTGCAAATAGCTGGCACTTGTGCAAACGCTGCCTTAAATGTCATAAAGCATTGTCCCATCAGTGTTAACAAAGAGGTTAGAACAACAAACCCACGGGGATTTGGACTTCACTCTATAGCCATTTTCACATATGCACTCCGGATAATATCTAGATATTTACAGGAGGACTTCTCCAGAGATTCTCCTGAACTAGCCGTTCACATATGCTCCTCACAGCAGGGGACTTTCCCTGTCAGAGGGGAGGGGGATCGGGGGATTTCCTGAGGTAAGACGTGACGTAAATAAACAACGCCGAAGTAGCAACAGAGTCCGCTACACGACGCTATAATGAGAATATTTGCCTTTATGTCAATGCTATGTGTAATCCAATGGAATGACAACATCCACAAAAGAGAGGAGAACAACATACTGACGCACAGAAAACATAATGCAGCCGTTTAATTACGTGCACGGAGATCGAAGTGGTCGCGTGCAGACACTTTAGCCGGTCACTGTATATAAACGTCATTCTCTTTTTATTGGCTGAAATTGAAAATCTCCGGAGTATATTCGGCTGCGTTCAGACATCAGCTCCTCCGGATTATCCTGCCAGACCCCTGGAAAAAATACTAGGGGTCTGGCAGGATAAACTCTGGGTAATATCAGAGTAAAAAATGTGGCTGTTGCGTTCACACATACAGCTCCTCCTGGAAATCTCCGGAGTTTTTCAGAAGATTTCCGTACGTGTGAAAAGGGTTTATTTTAGAAATCATGATATAAATTTATATACAGGCTGTATTTGATACCTGTCGCTATATCAATCTTTAAAATAGTGCATATTATACCTTTAATCTAAACATAACATTCCATATTTGTCTATCCAATCACAGCCAAAGGATACTGGAATATACACCCAACAACAGGAGCATACTACCAGCTCAACACTCAGTCAGCTCTAACTTGGCCCCAGGCTGAGACCAGCTGCCAACAGCAGGGTGCCTCCCTGCTCAGTATCACTGATCCTCATGAGCAGGCCTATGTCACAGGTATGGTGATCGTATTTCACTATTAGAGAAAGTGGGTATCCAAGCAAATACAACTATTACAAATTAAATTCAAAAACATGTTTTTGTAACATTGTGTCATGAGTGGATTTCATAATAACATATTTTAATAATATTTAAAGTTTAAATTATTGCATTTTCTTTTAATTGTTATATTTTTAAAAGCACTACTAGGTTCTGGGGGTAATAAGCTGTGGACTGGACTTATCCTGGATCCCGGACACGGCTGGAAGTGGTCTAATGGAAGGCCTTACCGCTATATGAAATGGGACTCAGGTAGGTTTATTTTCCAGAACTAATACCTGAAGCTCGAGCAGCGGGGTTATTCAACAGACTTTTCAAAACAGAATGTCCATTTTAATGATGATCTTCCTTTAGGACATCCGCTTCCTGATCCTGGACACAACTGTGCAATGGTTGCTCCTGCTGTACGGTACTCCTGGCAAAGTTTCCCTTGCAGCAGGAAACTAGGGTACATCTGCTACAGCAAAGCGAGTGAGGTACTGCCTACGAAAGGTAAAGATGAAGCGCTATCAAAGTCTACATCCTCTGGAAACTGTTTAGCTCCATTGAAAATGTGTCAGTTAGTCTTAATATTTCTGTTCCATAAATGAACAGCTGTAGAAACTGGATTTTGTTCAAGACCTTGGATTCCCTACAATGGCCACTGCTTCTACCTCAATCGTACTGAGAAAACGTGGCCTGAAGCTCAGAGGGATTGTCGTTTCAGAGGAGGAGACCTTGTCAGCATCCACAGTGTGGAAGACCAAAGCTTTGTCATCTCTCAACTTGGATTTGGTCTGTGAATATATGTCTACTTTTGCATTAAATCGCGAGTCTGATATAGAATAAATAAAAAAACCCACTTAATGTAGTCAAGCAATTCTGCCTCACTCAGGTGTACATTTTATTGTGATTAATCAACACAAAGTCTGTATTTAATAATATGAATTGTTTAATCAATTGACAGCACTAAAGATTAGTAACAAAGTTTATCAAACATCTTTAAAGGAAAGATCCTTTATTTCTGTGTGCAGCTTCCACTGATGAGCTTTGGATTGGACTGAATGACAGGAAGACAGAGAAGCTGTTTGATTGGGTTGATCACTCTACTGTCAGTTTTACCAGCTGGGAGTTTGGGGAACCTGCTGTCTCCACTGATATAAACGACTGTGTTCTCATCAGGGGGGAGGTAAGCAGCCTCATATGGATATTTACCATTTCCCTTGGTAACAGATAAGTCCTATTTTTGGCACTCCACTTTATTGAATGATGTCTCTACTAATACATTGAGTAGAAAAATTAAAATTTTATTTGATTTTTGTTGCAGACTGGGAACTGGGCTGACCGTGTGTGTGAGGAGAGACATGGCTTCATTTGCATGAAGTTGAGTTCCACAAGGGCCACTGAAGATGAAGTTGTGATGGATGAAGGCTGCAGAACTGTGCGTTAAGTTTAACACAAGGTTTATAGATTGTTCAAGTCGTAATCCTAAAAGTTTAAAAAAGGTGTAGAGTATGAACTTCCAGTAACCTTACATACTGGTTTGTCTGTTTGAGCTCAGAGTTCAAGTAGTCTCCAGGAGTAAGAAAGCGCTCAGGTAAACTAAAGTTACTCAACCTGACCAGCTCAACAGAAACACAAAGCTGGGTCAGTAGAGTGCAAGGCAGAGCTGTAGCAGTCTCAATTACACAGAAACCTAAATGACAACTAAATATTGCACTTGCAAGAACGGGTGGATGGTGAAAGATTTCCAAATGAATTTAAGTCAACTATTTTTAGAAGAAATATTTTTTATTATAAAAATGCAGAATTAAATTAAATTATTTTACTTTAAAAAAAAAAAAGCTTTACATGTATTTAGGCCAATATTTGACTTAAAGAATATTTATGGTATTGTAGTGGGTGTATTTTTGTTCATGGTTTGGTATGGAAAGTTAATGAAAAACACATTAACCAAATACAAACATGGTTGCTTTTGAGTGAGTTACTGTCAGGAAAATAATTAGAAATCAAAAGTCCTTGTGCATTTTTTTGTTTTTCCATCAATTCAGGGATGGAGAAGACATGGATGGTATTGTTACTTTATAGGAACACAGTCAAAAACTTTTGATGAGGCTGTGGCTGACTGCAAGAGTTACAATTCTTATTTAGCTGATGTTTCAAATGGGTAAGAACATTGATTTTTTTAGGTTGCCTGTATTGGGATTTATTTAATGTAATAAAGATTTTCAAGCTTTTGCCGTGTTGGGTGACATGAAAACACTGTTAATATGACTTGTGTAAATATTTCCAGGGTGGACAATGCATTCCTTGTCAGTTTGTTAGGGTGGAGACCAGAGAAGCACTTTTGGCTCGGGCTCTCAAACCAGAAAAATATCGATGAATTTGTGTGGACCAACACAGACGCCGTGAGATTTACATACTGGAATGCTCATATGCCTGGTATGAAGGAATTTCACACTCCAACTCTGTGATGTGACACAAATGTACTTCACAATTGACATTTTACAAATGTTCTCTTTTAAAAAAAATGATAGGTAGTGGACAAGGCTGTGTTGCCATGACAAGTGGAATTTTTGCTGGTCTCTGGGATCTGCTGCCCTGCACCAAAAGTGAGAAATACATCTGCAAACACCTGGCAGAGGGAGCCGTTATAACCCCTGCACCACCCATTCTTACCACTCCTTCCAAATGTCCCCCTGGGTGGACTCTATTGCGAACAAGAAACTACTGTTATAAGGTACAGCCACATTTGAAAAAACAGATATTTATACAAAAAGGAACATGGGAAGTACAATGACAATTTCTGACTCTGTTTGTTTCCACACTCTTGGCCTGTATTGTTATTTTATTCATCCTCTGACAGCTGGTTGTTCTGGTAAACTTCTAGTGCTAAAATAACACCTGTTAGTATGGACTAATGAATAGAGAGTAAAAAATAGTAAAAAAAAATAAATGGTTAGCATTCACGAAGCACCTTATGTTCTGCCTACTCTAATGCTTTACACAGCACACAGATAATGTGCTTTTGCTATTTCTGGCAAGCAAAATGATGAAACCACTCAAATGGTAATAGTAAGCTTGAAGTGAAAACCATTGCTGAACCTCTTTGTCTTGTTTTTCAGGCATTTCGAGACTCCTCAGCTGGAAGGACTTGGTATGAGGCCAGAGATTACTGCAAAGCCATTGGAGGGGACCTGCTCAGCATCCACAGCGAGCTTGAGCTATTGTCGATAAATAGGTACTGTATGACCTTGCATTTTAAAAATTAAACAAAATAAGTTTTTCTGCAGAAGAAAAGGTTGGCTAGTGACAAACAAGGTTCATATGTGAATTAGGCCTGTGCGGTATCTGTTTTTTCATAATACCATACCGTCTTGCCATTTTACCATGTATACGGTATATGACGGTATTTGAAGGAAAAAAAAAAAAAAAGACCTAGGTTTTGCTTTAGCTAACTTTCTGTTTCATAAATTCATGACCAGCTAGCAAGCGACCTCTCTGCCTGATTCGCTGGTACTCTTTAACTTTAACATATGCTCTTTCATTCAAAAGAGACCGACAGTGTTTATTTACAGAACAATATACCCACGTTTTGTGTAAATGCATGAGATGTGTTAAATGCAAAGATGTGAAAAGTCTCCCTCCTCCACTTTGACATTAGCTCGTTACATTTCCAGCAGGGCTATCAGCTCTGCAGTCAAAGTGGCCACGTTAAAGGGATCTACATAGCACCTGACCCTGCTGGCGCGTGCTGTGCACTACAACCCTCACTCAATACATTATGTTTGCATCATTTTAACAGAAAAAGTAGCGTTTGTATTTTGGCTGGTATTAAAAGTCAGGATTTCTAAATACCCTGATATAC